TAGGAATACATGGTGGTTAGGACGTTCTGCTTCATAAGTTGCTGAAAGAAAACACTAGGCTCACTCATCGATATTGGAGGAAACATTGTCAATCCGAGAGTTTAGAAAATGTATATGAATCGATTTCACTACCACATCGTGTCTGCTGCCATTCACGTCAAAGTTGCTTTTTGCTAGGTTATCGTCATTTTAACATTCGTCGTTTCATTTAATATTGTCGGATCTCTTGTCCTGCTTACGTACCACACCAGTGATGTGCAGAAGAAGACGCAAATTCGAGGATGTCTTGTATGCTAATTCTTATAAATCCGTTTAAAATCATTTCTTTTGGGATTTCAAGTACTTCTCTATTTCTACTGGAACGCATTGCTAATAAAGCTCTCGAAGTATAACTTAAAAAACTAAAAGAAAAAAACTTCTTTGTGCGACATGAGCAAACCACCTGCGTCAGAAAACATTGGTGGAAGAAATTCATGTATATGTGTGTTTACATATATAGATTCGTATATATGTATATACATATATATGTATGTGCATATGTATACGTGTACATATATGTATACATATATATTTATATATATGCAGATAGGTATATGTATCCTCCCAACGGTTTACCGCCTCATAGTGGCTGGGAGGTATTTCTGGATGTCGGGCTGCGGGAGCGGGATGTAGAGCGGGAAGATTTCATCCTCATGGCAGGGTCTCCTAAGTTGAGAAAGGAGTCCGACGTTTCCATCAGGAAGCCCAGGCAGGAATAAACCAATACTAGAATCTGTCATCGTCTTGGTACCAAGGTATTCGTATGGTGGCAAATCTGTCTCTGGTCCACAAATTCGGCGACTGCTCGTGGTGTTGAAGACCTGGGGCAGACCTTGGCCTGGGTGACCGCGGAGCTCCAGGGAAACACAACGGCTAAACCAGTAAAATTCCGAAAAAGTGGAAATTACGTTGGGGCCCGCACAACCAGTGAGGACGTGCCATCCAAGCATCCAAGTAAGTAAGATTTTGCTATTCATATATGTTCGAAATCTGGATAAGTGATTTTCTCATGCCAGTACGTTTTTTCATCTGCAAGTGGGTAGTATTACAGAAAACTTTTTCCTACGAAATAAGTCTGCATATTTTCAGTACATTTCTCTCGTCGATACGCTCTTTACCATCGGCATAATATCACTTTTCATGTATAAACAAACAAAAATGAAACTGAGTTCGTCCAAACGTTTTATTTCATGTCGGTAGGTTTGTGTACACACGATAACAATCTCATAGAATAAACAAAAACAAAAATCTTTTCAATTATTTGAGCCACGTAGTCATTGGTAAACCAATCAGCAATGCTTTGCGCGCAAATCGATTAGAAATCAACAGTTATTTTATTCCAAATAGGCATCAATCAAATTAACATTATTTTACAACTATCATTTCAACGGATTTCACCATTTATTAACACATCACTAACAGTACTAATACCAAGAGTGGCTAAAGCAGACCACATGTGTTGACTTCGATGCATGTTCCTTCCGACTGCTCTTTATTCCAAAATGAGCTTATTTGTTCTGGTTTTTTGAATTCAATAACACGCACAAAATAGATATTCTTTTCTTTGTGATTATTCCCAGCATTGGATAATTTGCGAAAAGAAATCCTCTTGCGGACGAATTTTTCAGAAAGAAAATTAGGCGTAGTAGTGTTTGGGTGAAGTAGGGTCATGCACATTTCTTAATTTGATGTGATTTTGAAAGATCGATTTTTTACAACCAGGCGGCTAAGACAATTGCCGAAGCTCATCGGTGGGGTGCCAGCTATGTCTTGGAAATTCCTTGCGATTGTTGCATTTGCTTTAGTTGAGTGAACATCGGTTTTGGGTTTTGCACAGTAGGAAATCTTATAGCATCAAGGCTACCCAGGATGATCACAGCAGTTACGGGTTACTATGGTTACAGTGAGTTAGTGTCTAACTGTAGAACCCGTCAGATAATTGTCGTTATACTTTGGCGTGCACTTCAAACTTAGCAAAGTTTTGTTCATAAAGTAGAAAACACCGTTGAGAACACTTGCTTTTGCTGTCACAACTTCTCTTCACATTGCTTCTGATCAATTAAATGTTGATTGGAAAAGATTAGAAAGGATTTTGAGTCAGTATATATGTTTCCATCAAGAAGGGATATGACACTTATTTTCCTAATCCTTTGATTTTTTTAATGCTTTCATTTTGCTAATGACCAGATATGAAAGAGCCATTTTCGAAGCCCCTTTTTCTGAGGCCGACCTGTCTTCTCGTCGACTTGTAACCACCCGATCCTCCAAAAACTCGTCCTGATTGTTTTTTACTGGGATCATTTCATATGCTATCAAGTCTTCTAGAAGCAAATCCGCACAGCTCATCTGGCCTCTCTATCTTCAACTGAAGCTCTTCTCACATCGGCAGCTATCTTTTTTCTGCATAACCAGCCCAGATTGAATTCACGCAAGAATTTTTTCGCAGAATTAGAGAGCTAATAAGCATATAAATTGGGCAGAACGAGGTTAAAAGTTCCAAACAACTTGAAATACATCTGTCTTTACATAAAACGATTAATTGTCTGTGAGATGTAAACGATCGCTGAACAATTTAGAAGTAAAAGAGCCAGATTGGAGCCTACGGTAGAATCAGAAAAGAGGCCTGCAAGTACCAGCAATCGACAAAAAAGGAAGGGTTCAAAAATATGTGGCGCTTCACCAGCATCCAGTAGAAAGTCGAAGTCAATGCGTGAAAATCGGATTATTAAAATAAGTTCGAACCTTTGTAAGTCTCTTAAAATATTTGTAACCACAATTTTCGAAAGGTGAGAATGCAAATTGTATTGTGCAAGAGGGAAGGTGAAGGAGTGTCGAACTGCGATATATAGTGGAATAGTATGTAGAATACCACAGCTCTGCTAGCCAAGCTGAGAATCAGCTCTACATTTTTGTCCGAAATAACAGCTAAATGGTAATAACCTGTAATGCCTATAACGACCTATAGTAACCCAAATAGTATGTTTTGACAAGTTCCAGTTCATAGGCCTCGAAATAATCAATTTGCCGCATACAGTTTAGTTCATCTAAACGCCAGAAAGCGTTTCACATGGTAACGAGGAGGTCAGTGTTTCCATCTTGAAGCTCAGCTAAGACTAACCGACTGCCACGAACAGCCGGTAGTATCCTAGTCGTAAATAACATTCTGATACATAAAGTCCAACAACTGCTTCTATTGATGAACTAGGGAAGAACTAGCACAAATATTTTAAGACTCTAAAAAATGAAATTTTGCTGAACGTGAACCAGTCAAACTATTATTGTGAGAGATCTGAGCGATTCATTACGATATCGGAACATTGCAATATTTAAGCATTCACTTGATCATCTATCCTCAAAGGGATGCTTTCTTTTAGGATCTGCTGGAATTACGCGGTTGACGATAAACGATACACAAAATCTAAAATTCGAAAGCAAAGTGTTTATCACAATAAAAAGTTAATATAGTTAGAAGTACATACAAATGTAACCGTCCCTTCGTCTCTCAACATCACAGCTACAAAATAGTGATCGAGACGTATTCATTGTTTAAAATAAACTTCTGTGAATGGCAAACCAATACGGCCGGCTAATCACAAAGAAATTTCATGTGGTTCCGTCACTTAGACGTGGGGAGTCCACATGAGAAACTTGGAACAGTGATGAGCAACAGCTTTTGATTTCATTATAAATCATTAAAAAACCTTTAAAGTCAGAACTATGTACAAGCTATTGTGGTTTCACGATAAGCGTCTCACCATCACGTAGATGTACATTTCTTCCCTGTACTCGGATCACCGGCACAGAGCTGCGTCGATATGATCGTAGTGTTCGCAACGAACCTCGCACGTCTGTTGAACTACTCCTTGCATAGTTGCTGAGACGCTGTCCAATACTACTCTGTGATAACTGAAAATTCTCCATGAACAATCCGGAAGATATTGGCAAAGTTCGCATAGTCAATTTCACTTTCTCTAATCGTCCCTATATACTACTAAAGGTAACAATTAATCGTATGAGTTCTTTGATAGTGATACTGTGATATATTGATATATGCTCATTGATACTACGTAGTCAGACACTCAAAAGAACTCAAAATGCAACCATTGAAATCTTCTGGCCGAAAACGCTTGGGAATCGCAACTGAAATTTCACAACATGGTCTTCACCATCAGAAAGCTCGTAAAATCTCTACTGCTCAAATAGACGAAAAAGTTCGAAAAATTCAAACTTTTGACTGAAAGATGGTGCGCATGATGCCTCTCAATGCATGGCTCTAATCAAGGACAGGATACAGTGATGAAAATGGGCGACTAAAGGCATACCCGCGGAAATTTCCGGAATATGAGAATGAAGCACTTTCGACGAAAATTCTCAGAAGAGAGGCAGAATAGGATGAAGTTAATTGTCTTTCCTGTGACGACGAGGCTGTTTGTGATGCTGAAAATAATACTAATAAGTACTGCATGTGCGAGAGTAAACAATGCACTCGAATTCGCATTTAAAGAGATTTTCTTCCAAGCAGTGACGAAAAGTAGTTGTACGGTCAAAAACTTCCTTGAATTTTACACTAAAAAGTAGACAAAGCTCTCGGCGCTAATCAATTCCTAAGGGATACGCCAAGCATTGGACTTCATTAAGTGCCGTTGGAGGTGATTGAATGCATATCTGGCCTTTACAATGACTAGCAGTGGCCTGTCGATTTATCGAGCCAGCCTGCTATCCTCCCTAACTGGTACTGATTTGCCGACCCCGAAGGGATAGAAGGCTTGTTGGGCCATGGGTGCGGGGATCAATTCCACGTGCATGTTGCAGGCCTCCTCCAACCAGTGCGCCACACCGCGCCCAAAGTTTACACTATACAGAATTGTTAAATATGGTATAAAAAAGTGCAGAATGAAAATACATTTTTTAAATAATATTATAACACATTTAAGAAGGACTTGATCTTCATAGTTGAGAAACTATTCCCGTTGATTCGTTATTAGTTGCCTTTTTCGCAACCTTTTCACCTTTGTCGGCACTATCCCTGCTTCGGCGATTTTCCAACGTTGCACTCCTTCGGCAACTCTTAAAACTATCGAGAGAATTCAAAGCTCTGTTCAGAAACTTGTATTTGTGCTCATTTCGTCTTCCCTAAGTTAGGCAATTTCATTATTTGCTACAATGCGACTATAAAAGATTTTGTCAAGGCGATATCACCATGTTCCAAACGTTTTCGAGAAGGAGTAAGTGGCTTACAAAAATTTTTACTCTTTCTATACAGTTGCGAATGGAGGACGCTCTTTTTGACACTATCAAGTGCTTTCTAATAATCCACAATCTCGAAGCAATGATCAGGCGCAACACGACTGTGTAAAATGTGAGTTATGGAGATCTATTCGGACACCATCAAATGATAATTCAACTACGTCCAAATGCTTCCATCGAAATACAACTCTTTCCTGTTGGTGGCATTTTATCAGCATTGCGATCAGCTCTTGGTGAGCTCGGTGGAAGTCAAGCGTAGCGTTGTTGAGCACTAGATATTTGCCATTTGATTGGGTGATTGCTGTGGCAAAGATCGATAGAAATAGCTATGAGACAGGCGAAACAAAGGACCCGAATGGTGTGGTGGTGAACCCGTTACTCCCCGGAAAGGACAATAGCGCGTTCGTTCTCCACCATAGACACCTGCGGTCCAGAGTTTTGCAAATATCTCAGCAACGTTGTGGTTGTATTTGCCATTTTTCATCCATTTGTTCGCAATTCAAAGCTCAGTGTGGGAAATATGAGTGATTTTTCTTCGACAGAATATTAGGACTGAAAACAATTGAATATATAGCTCCCGTCATTAGTTTCACATAATGGATAACGGATAAAAATTGTTAGCATTTCGCTCCCGTTCAGCAAAGCTGCCACTAAACCACTTTCATAAAGCATCAGAAAACAATCCTTAGATTAACTTTTCTGGGCTGCTTGAATGATGTCTTCTGTAACCTTTAGTGCTTCGGATAAAATAGCTATGTAATCGGCATTCATTACTACTCAAAATGAAGTGGAGTTCGATTGCATCCTTAAGCCGTAAGCTTTTCATCTCTTTGAGTGGTAGTGGAAATAAAGTGCAAGCATTCCATTACAGGGCTACGGTAGCGCTTTGGAGTACTTTAAGGGCCCTTTCAAGCAACTCGCATTATCCGATGAGGAATCCTTCGATAAGCCGCTTAAGTTAAATCGAAATTCCCTTAAAACGTTTTTGTTCAACATGACGTGTTCTTTTGCGCAAAAACGGTGGTTGCGAAAAATACAATAGTTCTCGCAGTAGGTCACTTCTTTCAGGTGGACACTAAAAATCCACTTTGTTCGTTTTCCTCATTTGTACAAAGCAAGTAGCGATAAGGAGTACTTGAATATATCAGACCTTTTCTATGTCGAGAATGGAAGAAAATATCCGAATAAGTTCAGCAATATAGCCACAGGGCAAGGTATCGTAGATGTTCAGTGATCACGCATCCCGTAAACAGAGATTAAGGAGCGTTGACCATTTACTTATTTTGGATACTTCTACTGTCTCTATCCTGTAGAGTACTTCTGTGACCTATATCTTAGGCCATAATCAGAGAACTCCAAGTTCAAGCAGACTATTTTATGTTTGTAGATAAAGGACGAGAAGCATTTTCATGGCGTGCAACGAACGCGACATTTGTGTCGCAGAACAGTGAAGTTGATCCCAATGACATCTTTGTAAAAAATGCGGATAGAATTCAACAAATTTCTTCTGCCCGAAACCCAAAAAAGTTACTTATGCAAGTTTTCAAGATTTCCTTACTACTATAGTTCAGAGAAAAAAATGATGTAATGAATATGCTAAATAACGGTCCAGAGTAATAATACTAATCCTAATGATAAGTAGTAAATTAACCTAAATATAGCGTAAAATGTCGATCCCAAATGAGCATAGCCAGCAAATAGCTCCCAAATCACCATTACTGCTGATGGTCCCTGCGTCAACGAGAAGCACAACCCGATTGCAATGACAGTGATTGTAACATGGCGACGTTGACGCTGAAGTAGTAGATTCTATAGATTTGTCCTATTTGATAAAATCAGACGTATGGACACGACTTCAAATATTAAATATCTGAAAAAAAAATATGAAAGAATGACTTTTATAGTGGTTACAGAATTCTAACGAGGAAACATTCGGAATAGGAATAAAGGGAACAGTTTGAAGTTCTTCTTTATCTCAAGTCACCTCCATCCCCTCGCCGTTACGGGATCTTTCTGTTAGTATTAGTCCATTAATGACTAAATGCTAAGTTGACTTACACGCGATGACCCCGCCAACCTCTCTTAGAACAATTCTCTAACTCTTAACGAATTTATCTGCAATGAGACAGTGAATGCACTCGCAGGCGTTACTAAGACCACAACCAGATATCCTAAAACTTCAGCTCTTATCCCTATTATCGCAATTGTTCGATAGCTCTGTTACAGTAAGGTATGGTTAATTTTCCTAAGATTTCTTTTCGAAAATCGATAAAAGATCACCCACGTGCTGATTCGTCGTTATCGATCCATGAATTTCCAATATAGATCTGTCACTAAAATGTAGTTCTCGAATCATAAGCATATTTAATACAATGACTAGAAGAATCGGTGCAAAAACCACCTAGAAAGATGGATGTTTGGAAAATCACCAAAAAAAGGTTGTCATTCCGATTTTAAAAAAAACTTACTAGAACCGCATTAAAAATGGTCATAATTCGCATATAAAGCTTCTTAGCGGCGCTCGGCAAAATCTAAAAATAGGATACCAAGTGCAACATCGATTTCAGAGGTTTGTTGAAAACCTCCTAGTGATCAGTCAGGTTTCTAAACCTTGCCATTCATAAATTCTAAAACAACGAGTTGCAATTGTCTTACTAGTTCTTTTTTGAGAAACGTTCTTGGGTGTTTTTCTCCAGCATAGTAGCAAAAATCAATTAGTTGACTTCCGTTACAAAACTCCATCAATGTGCAATCGTACTCGAAATGATGGTACAACGTAAGTAGGCCTGAAAGCAGTATACAATTACCAATGACTTCCATTCTAGAGTATGTTCCATTAAGATGTTTTCAACTTATAAAGAACGTATAGAGAAATGTAGGCTACAATAAAATCCATACTAATCACAGGCATACCCATATAGAGACATGTGGCCTACAATAAAATCCCTATTCATCATAGGCATACCCATAACCATATTGAAGAGATCTCCATTTTAATCTCGATGAGACGTGTTTCTAGATTTCGAACTGCGACGTAACCGATTGTACGCCTACCTAAGAGCATATCCTAAGCTGAGAACGAGTTCAACATTTTTATTAGGAAACTCAGCTAAGAATAAACCATTACCAGGAATCTTTACTCTTCGCATAGAAAACAGGCTGGCAACCACAGTGGCAAATCGTTCTGCGATAAACAAGGGAAACCACTGTCTATGGCGAGAATCTGAGAGCGCTCTTACACGGGTACCTCGAGACATCGCGGTAAAAATCAATCGAATGGAACTTATGTTGGAGAACAAGCGATTCTTCGTAAAGATAAGCTACTCAAGTTTTTAAGTATCCTGAGGCAAAGACCGACATTTTAAACAAGAATTTCAACGGATAAATCAACATTAGTAAATCTGCTCGCTTGACAAAAATCTAGTCGGGAATATGCAAATCCCTCTCGAATCCGCAAGCGCCGTAACTGGTGAGGACAACAAGGAAATGACCTGGCACGGCTATTTGATGTCTCTCAAGGGAAAAGAACTTCTTCAAATGAAAAAATCACTACTGTAGTGGAAATTTGAATGAAGTCTAAACGATTCGAAGAAATCACATTATTTATATAAGTATCCATATCAGGAAGTACAAGAGTACTTAGAACACGATTGTTACAAGATTATTCGTGGAAGCCCAACAGCAGGAGACCTTATACGTAAACTCGTCTCTAACTGAAAGCACAACGATTATATGAATATTCGTTCCTTTTTAAACACCATGACATCAAGAATGCATGCTGTGGGCCGGTTTTCAAACGACAACGGTGAGCTTGACCGTGTTTGCTAAGAAGCTGTGTTGTGTGCTGACCTGCATTTCCGTACTAGTTCAGCAAGGAATAGAGTTGAAGTAAACCAAAAAAAGTCATTGACGGACGGTTTTGGTAAGCTCGGAGAACTAGTTTAGATTAGCTTTCACATTTACTGAAGAATGAGAACAGAGAGGGTTAGACCAAAAGATATTAGTAAAATAGATTTTAGATCTTGCCAGACAAATGCACCACAAGCGTAGGAGGATCTAAACCGTGAAATAAATCATCGAAATAGTTTTTTTTTCGTAAAGTTTTCCATAGCTTTCTCTAAATAATTATTTCTAAAATGCAACCCGTGTAATAAAGCCTTCAAGCAGATATCAGTAGAGTAGAGGCGAATGGAAACCATTTGATATAACCTATGGGCGTATACTACTTCAGGTATAATCGTGATCAACTGTGGTCTTCACCATCCGTAAAGTTTTGCTTTTAAGCAAGACATTTTGATCAAAGCATTTTATCTTACCAGTTGCGAAAAAAATCGAGCTCAGTGCAAGCACCATTTTACCACGTTGCCAATAGAGTTTCGATCGTAATGGTGAGCGAATTATTAGAAAACGCTCAATAGAAACAGCTAAAATCAACCTGAAAAGTATACATAATACAAGTCTTAGAGAACAAATCATTGTATCCGACAATGGAATAGAGTATAGAGCTTCGATTCACTTCAAATAAGCATTATGAATTTTCAAAGATATGATGTCCGACATGCATTTGGTGCGATGTATTCGACCTGAAGAACCATGGAAGCTTCTGGTACTGAACGAGGACATCTTAACTTATATTAAAGCCTATTGGTGTCAACAGAAGTCAATAGATCATCACAGAATGCTGGACGAGTCGACTCGCTTTGTAGAGCGTTCGCTGGTGAGATGAAGAAGAGCGCCGGGAAGGAGATCGAACCGGGGCCTTCTTTACCTGACGGACTACCTCACTAGACACTTTTCTACGTCGCCAATTGATTTCTCCGCCGCTGCATAGAACATCGAATTATTCCTAACTTTGTAAAGCACAGGAAATTATACGAATTATTAGAAAACGCTCAATAGAAACAGCTAGGTAACCACCCTGAAATAACTCGAAAGACCGACTTTCTACGAACCTCGGCATAGATAGCTGATATATTTATTTATGTGATCTTATAAACTGATCTTCTTAAGCTGACGCGAGGTCGGTACAGATCTTCGTTGTCGTTGTTTTTGATGTTATTGAACGATGGCTGACGTTTCGGCGACTTCGCCTTCCTCAGAGCCGTGATGTTACGTGCGGGACTCACCCTGAGGACTCACTCACCCATAACGTCAGCCATCGTTCAATAACATCAAAAACAACGACAACGAAGATCTGTACCAACCTCGCGTCAGCTTAAGAAGTTCAGTTTATAAGATCACATAAATAAATACACCCTGAAATAGACTGCGCGCAAAGACCATCCAGAGTTACTGTGCTAGGAGGAATAACGCTTCCGGAAAAATGTGCGCTCATTGTTAGAATTGGGTCCGAGTTTCGCGCCTAGTCAACCCATTTCTAAACCAATCCTGCGCAGGATCACGTGTAGTCTACATGAACTTCAAGATCAGCTACGTTACATGGCTAGGCTAGAAAGGTTACGTAAAGTAGTGCTAAAGGAAGAACTATCACCAATACCTTTTTCCCCAACTTTCTTTAAACAAGAGCCACAAAATAGTTTATTTTCAGACGAAATTCTCCGCACACTTAATCACTACCAAAAACGAAAAATAAGCTCCAACCTCACACACCAACAAAAATGTGGTATCCACTAGGTTAGAGAGCTCTTGAATTCAAAATCTGTTAGACTTTCTATTAGTGATAAAGGCGGAGAATTTGTAGTTATTCCTAGTCAGTTGGATATTAGAATAACAAAGGAGCATCTCAGTGATGTTTCTCTCTATCGGGCACCCTCTGAAAAGAAATACAGAAATCAGTACCGAAAATTGAATCAAGAATGGGTCAGCACGGCAAAGGCCACGGGTTTAGAACCTTCAGTTATTTTCGACTAAAAAACGAACACCCGATTTGCCCCGTCCTTTACTTGCTTGTTGAAACACATAAGCTTATTTCAGTTGTTGATATTACGTCCACGAACCCATCATCATTTAAAGTCACACCTATCATCAGTTGTGTAGGTGGGCCAACAGATAGAATAGCGTGTTTCGCAAACCTTATCTTGACCCGGTTGCTGAAATTCGCTCCAACCGATTTACCTAACACCAAAATATTTTTCGGCCACCCACGGTGCGCGTAACCAAACAGCACGCATATAATGGAGTCATTCGATGTTACTTCAGTTTACACCACCGTGTCCAATGACTCCGCAATGCAACCCATTCTCGAGCTTCTCGTAGAGCACGAAAAGAAGATAAAAGTGTACAGTTTCTCGATTCCGCAACTAATGACTCTTTTAAAACAATGTCTTAGTTGTTCAATCTTCAGGTGGTCTGGAAAATATTTTGCACAAATTAGAGGGCTGGCGATTAGGCAGCGTTTAGCACAAACCCTTACCATCGCTTTCATGTTTAAGGTGGAAGCTCCAGTTCTCGATCACCGACCCTTACTCTACTGTCGATACATAGACGACTGCTTCATCGTCTGTTCCACACAAAAACAGATGGATGAGTGCTTTGAATTATTAGACCGACAGTCAGAGTATATAAAATTTACACGAGAAAAGCCTACCGAAAACTGGCTTCCATTCTCAAACAACCAAATAAAGCTCTCAGAAAATGGCTATATAACAAAATGGTATCGCAAGCCAAGTAGTGAAAACATTCTAGTTCACTACCTCTCCTGTGATCATTCATACATGAAGAAAGCACTTATCAAAAACATGTACCGTACGGCTAAAAATGTGCGCACAGAAGAGGAAAGGAAGGAGTGACAAAACCTGGCACGAAAAATAGCCATTTCCAATGGCTACGAAGTAGAAGCCACTCGGGTTAGACAAAATCGTAGGATAGTTTCCCAAAATAATGTTTTGGACGTAAGTAAGATCTCTTTTAAGCTGCCCTTCATATTAAATGAAGTAAGTTGCGCCATTAAGAGATGCTTAAGAAAAAGTGGTCTTGAAAATTGTGTAACGATTACTGACATCCCACCCAATACACTACGCCGTCAGTTAGTTCGCAACCATCTCTATAATCGTCTGTGCACCTCGGAAACCTGTATGATCTGTCCTAACGGAAGAGGAGATTGCACGAGTTCTAGTACAGTTTAGCACAACATCAGACACTATACACTTGATCACGTGTAAGGCATGCGGCGCGGAGTACATTGGAGGAAACTGGTAGGCCGCTTTATCTCCGCATAAAAGAACACCTAGATGGGAAAGCTAAAATTCGTCAGGACACTCCTCTAGGTACGCATAGGGCACAAAAGCACAACGGCGATGAGTTTGAAGTGACTGTCCGGATCGAAGCGCAGAGGTCAAAAACATTAGCGGGCAAAACTCTCAAGGCGTTTCGAATAAATTTCAAAAATCCAAAGATGAAACGGAAAGACGAATGCCTCACTATCACACGTGAACTGGCCCCCTATTCCAAAATGATATTTTGACCCCTGAGTGGGTCTCACTAGCGACCTCACGTGAACAACGCGTGTGCCAGTCCCACTCGTAACAGCACGATGAATAGCCTCTTTGATCAATATGGCGTTTATTTGAAAGTTTGACCTTCATTAATACTATAAACATTTCGCCGAATAATTAAAGTATTCTTGTATAAAATACGTCCAGGCTCTGATGAAAGCGAAATCGTCGAAATGTCAACCATCGATCAGCAACACCAGCAACAACGACAACGACAACGAAGACCTGTACCAACGTCGCTTCAGCTCAAGAAGATCAGTTTACAAGATCATATAAACAAATGTAAAAAAAAACCAATCTCTTTGAATCCACTGTAATGTTCACTTATAAATACCAGACCGACCAAATAGCTGCTGCACTCATCCAGTTGGCGATGGCAGCAATGTGCTGTTTGCTCTTCAGATAGAAAAAGCGAAACCCGTCGTTGAACGCCAAGACGTCATAAGAGGACAACGCATGCGGCATCATCACCAGCAGGAACGCCAAATCACAAAACGAGACCGCAGTTAGCTGAAAAAACACTCCGTATTCGTTAATTTTCGTTTGTTTGTTGAGTATTTTTTTTACATAATTACTATTTTGAAAGTAAAGACGACTTACGATCCTCAGTCCCACCACATGTCAAACAATTTCATACACAATTTCATACTTGATCTATTAAAAGGATAAAAAGGATAAAGCTCGAACGCTTGGTGGGCAATGGGCGTGGGGATCGATTCCACGTGTGTGCTGCAGGGCTCGTCCGACCACTGTGGCACACGCGTCCTTGATCTTGTTCCACTAACTTCGTGATATTTTCATGCTATGATATGCTGATCGACTATGTTAATTATGACTATCTGATAAGGACCTACGCATTTATTTTGAAGAAAAAAACAGCGTACTGTTAGATTTATATTAGAATGCAAGGCAAGCGCCTCATATTACAACACGAAAGCGGAAAAACTCTTCGATTAAAATTTTCTCGTCCTCTTGTTTAAGGAGGGCGTGTGGTGCAGTGGTCGAAGGTGCCTTGTAACACACACGCGGGTTTGGTCCTTTACGCCCATGGCCCGCTAAGCCTTCCATTCCTATGGGGTCGGCAAATTGGTACCAGATTTGTCTGGGAGGACAGCACCACTGGCTCGATACATCAATAGGCCACCACGAGCCATCGTAATGGTCAGATATGCATTCAATCACCTCGAAACGATGCTTTAGTGAAGTCATGGATGGCGCAGCTCTCAGGAATTGAGCAACGCCGAAAGCTTTATCCTTTTTTATCTCGTAAGAAAAACTTACTATCTCTCGTCTAATTTAATTTAGTTACAATCTTAACTCTTTTATTTACTGCCTTTTTCTTCTTAATGGCAGGGTATGTTGCGAAATATAACTCGTATGAAACGCTGAGATATTTGCAAAACTCCGGACCACAGGTGTATGCAATGGAGAACGAACACGCGCTGTTGTCCTTACCGGGGAGCAGCGCACTTCACAACTACACCATCCGGGTCCTTCGCTTTGAATGTCTCTCAGCTAGTTCTATCGATCTTTTTTGCCATCGGCTATCAGTGATTATAACTAAGCATCAGCTTAACTGGGTTCAATGCCGATATTGGCTCCCCAGATCAATCCCGTTGATGGGTGATTGTTGTTGGCAAAAAAGATCGATAAAACTAGCTGAGAGACATGCAAAGCAAAGGACCCGGATGGTGTAGTGGTGAAGTTCGCTGCTCCCCGGTAAGGACAACAGCGCGTGTTCGTTCCCCACTGCATGCACCTGTGGTGCTGAGTTTTGCAAATATCTCAGCATTTCATACAAGTTAATTTAGTTACGTTATTTATCGGTTCTTTTTCGCAAATTTATTTTATAAACACCCAAAATGTACACTAGTTTAGTTCAATAGTACGTCGTCAACCACGAATCAATCGAATGTTTCTTAATACCATTATTTATTACTGTGACCATTATTAATCGAATACTATGCCCTCATTTGGTTTTAAGCTCTGATTCTTCTATATAAACACAAAGAAAGCAGCAGGTCTGATTAGTAGTCGGCTAGCCACAGTCGATAGCTACGTCTATCGGTTGAGCATAAGACACTCAACCTATGTTGTCTATAATGTCACCTGCAGACAAACTGGTGGAGAGGATCTGCATTCAATGCATAAACCTAGTCAAAAATCCGCAAATCCCCCTGGACACTACATGTCTCGAAATTAATTGTGGTGGGACTAACAATAGAACGTCCTAGTACGGCTACTTTAGGTCCCTCAAGGGAAAAGAGACGACTTTACCCTTTCCATCAATTTAAACATCATCAGAAAAAAATCTTTCTCTCAGTAAATTAGTTTCTTTGCACTTGTTGAGAAACTGCGCAAAGATTTACACATTATACATGCACAAACACACGACTTAGCTAAGATTTATACTTCTACAGACGTCGAACTTGACTACTGATGTTGCCTTCGTCTTCTTATCCTTTTTCCGTTGTGCGAAAAATGCACTCAAAGTGGCCCAACGGAATTTTGTTGAAGACCATCATTATAATTATCATCACTACCGTTATCACCATCACTGTCATTATTACTTACCAAATCGCTGGCAATGTTTGATGTTTCATCGGAAGCGAGTACACAGAGATTAAGAATGTTACCGAGAACACCAAGTGTGAATTGCAACGGGAACAAATACTGCCACAACCATCTAAAAGAAAAAAGAAATTACACCATCAATGAAAAATGAACATTTGATGTAGAAACAGCATTTCAATGAAAGCTTACTCATAGCTATGAATGAGAAAGAAATAGTTACAATTACACGTAGGCAACACTAGAGAATCGAGTACTGTCAGTGATGGCTGAACCTCTTTTCATTTGCTTTTTTGTCGACTTTTTAAGGCAAAAAACATTTGGGAAATCGTATAAAATGGATACCAAATAGAGGACCCATTGCCTTTTTCCTCCATTATGGCTCCGTGCTTGCACAGCACTTCGATATGTTCTACTTTTTTCTGAGCTTCATCTAAAATCTTATGAAGTAGTATTTCGCCAGACTGTACTTATAAAATCCACAGTAAATGATTACATTATTTCATAAATTTGTTTATCGTTATGCATTATATAAATAGGTATAATAGGTAAGCATAAGTATGCATATATTGGAAGTTTACATCGGCATCACCATTGCCAGGATCCACCACCGGCCTGTTATCAAACTAGTCGCACGGTGGCAAATCTCCGTCTGATCCACAAGGGCGGAACTGCTTGTGTTGGTGATGACCTGGACCACACTTGGGCAAGACTGACCTCAGTAGTCCAAAGAACCACAATGGCTAAACTATCGAAACTCCGGAACAATGGAAATTAGACTAGGATTAGCACAACCAGTGAGGGTGGGCCATCCAACTGCCCAAGTTATATAGGCATTATACGTTGCTAACACAGTTCCTATTATATAAAACATCCTATACAATACAATGCAATAAGTCTTCCTCAACAAAGACGGTCTCTCATAACCATGACCATTTCATTAGAAGCAAAAATGCTTTCTTCAAAAAGGGATACTGTAGTTACGTCTCATGTGTAGTCGCACCACATTCGGAAATGAATGAACGGAAGATGGTGATTGTCTCGTGACGGTGAAAAACAAAGTCATTGACGAAATGTCTGCGAAGTATTCCTTCCTTTTATTCTGTTTAAGTTTTTTTTTTCCTATGTTTTATTACGATTTCATACTCAGGTATTTGTTGAGAAGAAACTTCGACACCAGTCCTATTCAAAGCATGGGAAGAAAAGAAAGGGATGAATTATGTATCAGAAATTTCGTCACCCCTTAAAGGTCTACTGATTAAAATACCATCAGTTAAAGAAGCTTTTTAGAATTTAATTGATCTGGAAATATTGTGGAGAACACCATAGGCGCTTAAGCATAAATAGAAGTAAGCGCGATATCTGGAAAGTTCTAAAAAACTCTATGAGAGCACTAACACAAACTATAACCAATACGCATTATAGTTCATATCTAATGTTAAAGACATCCTTGTCGCTCCAATCAGTTTATTAATTTTTTTATATGACCCTTCTTCACGTCTACTGTACGGATCACAGCAATTCTCACATTCGGTTCCTTTCCACGCTTCCATTGTCCACGAAAATCTTCCAACTTTTAAGCACGGCATCAGCTGCTGCTTGAGGAATTTCATTTCATCTTGAATGTCGTAGAATTATGGTCGAGCAATTCACCCTGGAGTCCTAAGATAGTCGAGCTGGAGCGTTCCCAGTTAGATTGCAGAGAGTGAATTTTACCAGACAAGTGTGGCAGTAATTTCCCGGCTCTGGACGGATGAGCACTTGGTTGGCGTGGAGTGGAATCGAATTACACCATGCTCGTGATGACAGACATCACTACGATGTGCTATCCGCCCCTCTAATTTTTTAATAGATGAGATATTTTCTGAAAGAAATAGTAAAAAAAAATAATTCTCATGAATAATTTTCTCATAAACTTGATATAAATTTAAAAATAATTTTTTAATAGTAAAGAACAAACGACTTTTATATAACAATTGTAAAAATACTATAAAATATGACACTTTTCCTTCAAATTCTTCCTTTAAAAAGAAATTTAAACCAGAAAATTAGCTCCGGTTAAAGCGGAAAAAAAATCGACAAGTATCAAAAACACGGGACTCGCAACATTTGGATCACTGCGCACTTATTATGCGTAGAATGCCAGAAAGAGATGACAGATTATACGATATGAAGAAGTACGAATAGAAACTCTTGAGAACCTTTTGTATTGCGGCAACTATTTAATGTGAACGCTTGGCCACGATAATAGGCCTGTGATCCTTTTCTTGGCATTTTTTTTTCTCGCCTCCGTGGCAACTTCCTTTCCTTTCCAATACCGCTTTTTTTCGAATATATTTCATATAAAAACATCACTTTTTGGTCAGATGAATTCTCAAGAACTATTCGTATTGTAATGCATAGGCCGCATTACGGTAATATGGTTGTGTTATCCTACAGGCCAAACCAGCGTGTACCATTAAAAATCACCTTGTAAGATGGTCGTGAACGAAGCGCAATTCTGCGGGTTTCAAGCACGGCATGCATCGGCAACTGTAGTCGACAGTGGCGACGAACAGACGGACAGACGGACGAACGTACGGACGCACGGACGGACGGACGGCTAAGCGCTTATTCGATATGCAAAACTACTATCACCGTCACCACCAACCACAACCATCACCACCGCTTAAAATACAGTTGTATTAGTTTCAGTCATCGATTTTATAAAGAAAAATCAGTAAACAAATCGGAAATACCTGAGAAGCTCATGAAACTGTTAGTGCGAAGAGCGAATACTTCACAGTTAGCTATACAAACATTACAATTCGATTGTTGAGGCATTAAGAATTCATGAACAAAGAAAAATGCAGTAAGTTTAGTTACTGCCTGTAGCGGTGACATGGGAACGTCATTAA